ACAGGGCAGACCCTACAATGAGAGACTGCGGGACCTGAACCTGTTCAGCCTTCACAAGAGAAGGCTGAGGGGGGACCTGGTGACCATATATAAACTTACTAGGGGGGACCAGAAGGGCTTGGGAGAGACCTTGTTTCCCAAGCGCTCCCTGGCATAACAAGGAATAACCGCCACAAGTTGTTGGAGCGGAGGTTTAGACTAGACATCAAGAAGCACTACTTCACGGTCAGGGCGGCTAGGATCTGGAACCAACTTCCAAGGGAAGTGGTGCTGGCTTCTACCTTGGGGGTCTTTAAGAGGAGGCTTGATGCCTACCTAGCTGGGATCATTTGAGCCCAGTTTTTTCTCCTGCCCAGGTGGGGGGTCGGACTTGAAGATCTACAAGGTCCCTTCCGACCCGACTTCTATGATTCTATGAATGTATGTGCTGTAAATTAGGTTCATCATTTTTTTCCCCAAAAAATAGATTTAATTTCAAAATAATGCAACTCTACGTAAGGGAAAGCCTATATGCTGATTCAGGGATAAAAGAAGCCCTCAGCTCTAGTACAAACCTGACACAGGCAGGGGCTATATTCAGAGCAGGAAAAACCACAGTGTATGAAATCCTGACCCCATCAAGGCAGAGGTAATCTTGATTCTGGCCTAATTTCCTAACTTTTGAATGCCTCATAGTAACACTAAGGCTGCAAAGTACCAGTCACATCAAGAAAAAAAAAAAATCAAGTTCATTCAGGGAATGCACAAATGTCTGTGTTCCATTTGACTGTTCAATGAGATTTGCAAACCTGGAGCTCAAAAGGGCCTATGAATTATCAAAGCTTAAACATACAGAAGATATGCCAGGCTTTCCAAAAATATGCACATGGTAACAAGAAGGGGGTTCTGCAAGATATTCTTTTATCACACCCCCACCTGGAAAATACCCTATTTTTTTATATCAACCCAGGACTTTAATCAGACAGTCTAACCAGGATAAAACCCACAGTTTAAACTAACCTATGTTAAACAGGATCTTGTCTTTACCTGTGAATGCTGATTGTCCTCACCAGATCACTGCCGGGAGACAGACCCTACTCCTGTTAAAATTTCCTTTGACTCAAGTGAAGCCAAGATCTCAATGCACTGTTTCTTTCCATGGTGCCAAGCCTCATGGGGCCATGGCAAGGATACCACCCCAAATGATTATCTGGTGTCACTCACAACAGAGCCAGGATGTCACTCCTGATATCTATGTGGTGTCAGTCAAACACTTCCATTTATGTAGCAGAAACCAAATAAAACCATGTTAACTGCAGCATCTCCCTCTCGTTTTTTTCACACCTGGCTTTTCTTTACAGAGAATAAACTATCATAGAGCTGCAATTTATGCTTAATCAGTAATACTGATGCTTATCGATTTCAGGGAAATGCAACTATGAAGTGAGATCATCTCTTTTATTGGCTCAACTTTTAGTTGGGAGAGATGTTTGGCAAGCTTTTCTCTCTCCCAGCTATAGGTTGGTTGAATAAAAGATATTACTGCATCTCACAAAACTTGCTCTTTATTTATTCCTGGGACCACTAGGGCTACCATAATACTACTAGTAGTTTCCATGTCACCATTAGCATTGCTGTACTCTATGTCAGTCTGTGACTTCTCTGCAAAATGCATTAATGCTGGAAGCCTTGATAAAGAGGCACTTGGGTTTCTGACCCTCTCACCTGCTGCTCATGTAGCAGAAATCTCTGGAAGTCATGTAGATGGACTGCTGAAGCGTTTGGATGGTCAGTATTTCTAGAGCAGAGGGAAAGAAAAAAATTAGCAAATTTCCTGATGGTTACTGAACAGAGGGGGAAAAAGGAGAACAAATATTGGCTAAGTCAGGCCCTCAGGAGGATATGGCTACAGAACTGAATCTATCCAGATAGAGGACTCAAAACTTAGTCGAAACCCTGTTGAAGGCAATGGGTGGATGATGGTGTCAGGAGTGGATTTTCAGTCTCAGAATCAAAGGTCACAGCCAAACGACTCACCACATAAGGCTGGAAAAGTTACTTAGGCTCTCTCCGTTTATCGTTTTGTAATGCGAGAGCTACATTTCCTTACGTAATCAGGGTGTTGTGAAGCTTAATTAGGGTATTGTTAAAAGTATTGTTCTTGTAAATTATTTGCATAGCCACGTGTTTTATTAAATGATACACGCACTCATTATGAGTAAGGACCAAAGAAGTTACTATATCAAGGGCAGCGAGTCTTAAGATACTTAAGAAGTTCCTTACATGCAACATGCAAAGTCAGGATAAACTGGCTTTACCTAGAAAAATCGTAAGTGTTCCTCACTTATATTCAGCGGCCCCTCATCTCTTCAACATGCTGCATGTACCTTATTTGCTTAGGGAACTTGAGAATTATTACAGACAAGGAAATCAAGACATGATTTGGGTTCAAATTCTGCTTTGCCTCAACCAATCCACAATACTCCTTTGCCTTCGGGTTTAACTCCCAAAGCAAAAATTCAGAGAGCCAGCTGTTGTCCTCCATTAAAGCTCTCACTGAAGTCCATCAGTAGGAAAAATTTAGTTCTTACAGCGAATCGCCCTTAATCACTTTTCATGCCAGATATTAAAATGAATATCAAAGTATAGGTAGGGCATGTTTCAATGATAAATTCTCATCAAGCAGCACAGCGATAAGAAATCCACTCTCTCTTCACTTAAAGTACCATAACACATAAACAGTGCCATCACTTCAAAGAAAAGAAATAAATGGCTCCATTAGATCAGAGGATCCCAAACTTTTTCTTACGGCGTACCCCTTCCAGACTTACCAGCTGCCAGCATACCCCTACCAGCATACGTTTTGTATTTTAACCCCTTATATGCCAATTATTATAACAAAAATTAAATTACACAATTTATCCCGCATACCGTCTTGTGTACTGCCAAGGTATGTGTACCACAGTTTGGGAACCCCTAAACTAGATCATTGATTGTGGGACTACGAAGTGTAGCTGCATTACAACCATACACACACATGCACATGCACACACGCACGTATAAAATTGTATTAATAGAAAATCTCACCCAAGAATGAACACAGAAGAATCCTTTTTGAATTCCTCAAGAATCTTGAGATAGGAATAAAAACAGAAAAGATGCACAATAAAAAATCTACATGTTTTCATTCAATAATATCTACAGTGGCTTGTGCTCTCTACATGCTGTATAGCTATTTATTTTTTATTGATTTATATGCTACCCTTTTAAGCTAGCAAACTACAGTCTGAGTTCAAATGTCCAAGAAACAAGCTGTCAAAGCTAGTGGGTACATGTCAGGATGTGTCCATGTAGAAGCACACAATTCTTGAACAAGAAACTTGACCTTGATAATTCATGTTATAAAACACAAGCAGTCAATTTCCCTGGGAACTTTTATTGCTTGATAGCCTGCAAAAACTGTAAGCACACATATACTGTATCATCTTTATTCATCTAGGTATAAAATCTAAACTAAATTGCCTCCAAGTTGGATCGGCACAGATACAGATCTCAGGAAGCGGTTGCCAACTTAGCTGAAAACAATTGTTAAGCAAGATGAGGAGTTTCTTAAAATGATCCACCAAGTGTGAGAACAAGAGTTCAAAGGAGGTCAGATGGTCTGTGCTTTACTCTCCCTTTAAGTAACTTCTTAATATTTAAGGTGAAAAGCTAGACTCACCCTACAAAATGGAGCACTTAACAAGGCGAATTGAACAAATAAGGCATTTCAGCAAGCAATATCCTACAGCATAGTTATTTGTATCAGACTGATCAACATTAAAAATATGTTTACTCTACAAAACTGAAAGGGGAAACTATGAACAAACCATTCCTGTGCCAACTGAGGTGAAGCGGCCTGAATATTAACAGTGGCTTGCATTTCTGCAGACACAATTAGCAGTATGCAATTACTATCATTCAGCCATTCGTACCAACATCTTCAAGTTTGGGTGCTGAAATTTAAGCACTTAAGAGCCAGATCCAGAAAGGTATTTAGGTGCTGAAGACCTCCTGAAATCAATAGGACTTCAGCACAGAAATCCCTCCTGGAATCTGGCCCTCATACCCACATTTACACATTTAAGTAAATACCCCGATTTTCAGTGACACAAAGCTTTTGGAGCTCCCATCAACTTCATGACTCTGGATGCAATGAACTTCTTTGGTTGCAGTGACCAAATTGTTCCCTTAGTAAATCTGTAAATACAGAGCCACGCCATTTATACAGTGCCAGGGCTGTCACAGGCATATCATGCAGTAAGCCAATTGTATGTATGCACCATCCTCACACCGAAGAAAACATGACAACAACTGCCCTCATTTGGTGACCAGGACATGCAAGCAAAGTTTAAAGAACATTCCTTTGGATGCAGGATAAATCAAATCAGGAAATCATGTAAGAACAAAACCCTCATTATACTGAACATCCATTAATTAAACCCAACCCATGAACATCCTACACATGGCACAGACAAACGTGCTTGACAAACTGCTCCCAAAAGCCCTGTTAGGTGTTTGCACACTTCCACTATGAGCAGCCAAGAAGCAACACTAATGTCTCCATTTCTTTTATTAAACCAGCTATCAGTGCATCAAATATAGTAAGATGAATGAGCATTTTATGGTAGAGGGCAGAAGGTCCCGATTCACTTTTCATTCAACCCAAGCAAGATAACAGCATGCTCGCTGGCCATTTTGAGATGAACTTACCAATCTCTGTTGTTCAAACATAATTTTCTTGTAGAACAAGTGAAATTGTTCAAAACTTAGGTCTTCCTTGGGTGCTCCCACTTCCTGTGAGAGAAAGTTGCACAGCATATTTAGAATTTCCTCTTCAGTTTATGTTGTGGCAACAAACATGTCCTTACCTTACTAGCTGCCACACGGTGCCCAAGCATGCATATGTATGGCTGTTGTGCCCTGACGTCAACTATTTTGACATGTCAGTTAAGTAATTTCTTAAGATAAAGGTTATATGTAACATGAAAAAAAAAAGAGATGTTCTGGTTTATAGTATATTGTTTCTGATCCACATCTCTGGCTTCCGAGTCTTTTATCACTGACCCGGGTACCGATGGCTAGTTCACTTTCTCCTCGCAAAGTATAAGGGAAAGTGTCCCATTGACTCCTTGTTAGTAGAAATAATGGTAGCAGTTATTTAGGGCTTTGCAGGTGGAAATTACAGGGCAAGAACAACACAGAAAAGATTTCTAAGGTTCTGGGAGGACCAAGGGCCCTCAAAATATTATGAACAATAGTGAAAGTTGAAATACAAGTCTAAGGGGTTGGGGCTTTTTTCATAAGGCAAAAGAGTTCTCAGTTTAAAACAGCGTGGACACTGGTTCTTGGTGAATTTGGCCCAGTACCACAAACAGGGCGGCCAACCTGATTTTGGCTTTCCGCAGTACTGCAATATTAGGAACTGGAATAAAAGTGATGATAAGTTTAAAAAGAAGAACAAGAAGTTGCTGAGTTACAGCCAGATCTAAACACACACAAAAAAATCTGATAATTAAATTAATTCACATAGAAAGAAGCTAAAGATCTAGACAAAATACCATACATAGGAATCAGTTACAGGTGTTAGCCGGACATCAAGTACTTAATGATAATTACCACAAACTTATCCTTCAAAAACTTCATGCTGCCTACTTTGAAGTTTACTAGTGGAAGTATGGTCTTCAGTTCCCTAATGCTGATACTGAAAGAAAAAACAAAGCAAAAAACAGCAGTTTTATTAGTATACAAGTAGCTGGCATGTATTCTTCACCAGCACAAAAGTTAAAATATTGGTACAGTTTAAATACTTTTTGTTCATTGCTCCCATCCAGCTACAACTGGTAGCTGTGGCCAGTAGATTGCTGTCTTAGTGCAATAAAATGGTAAATATCTTTTAACTGTGTGTATGTGTACACACACACACACACACACACACACACACACACACACACAC